CTGCCCTGGGGCCGGGTGGGAGCCGGTGCCCCCTCCCTGCCCCCCTGAGCCAGCCATTCCCTGCCCTGGGGCCGGGTGGGAGCCGGTGCCCCCTCCCTGCCCCCCTGAGCCAGCCAGTCCCGCCCCAGCATTAAGGAATTAATTTTGCCCGGGAATAATGCTTCTATCCTAAAAAGAAGAAGGTGGATTTCCAGACATGGCCACTAGGCAGAGCCCCTGCTCCTGAAAGGCGGCTGGGGCGGATACACATTGCAGATATTCAGTTAAATGGGCCCCAGGCCTGTGGTGGGAGAGAACCCAGGAGTCCTGGCTCCCAGCCCGCCCTGCTCTAACCCACCAGCCCCCACTCCCCTCCCAGAGACGGGGAGAGAACCCAGGAGTCCTGGCTCCCAGCCACCCCTGCTCTAACCCACCAGCCCCCACTCCCCTCCCAGAGACGGGGAGAGAACCCAGGAGTCCTGGCTCCCAGCCCCCCCGTTCTAACCCACCAAACAGGGCAGCGTGATGCATTCAGGGCGCAGGTTCTCAGTGGGGCTGGTGCTTATGGATGGAGACCCCTGGACCTCTGCATCCCAGCAGCCGGGACGGGGACCTTCCCACACGCGTTATGTGAGGAGAGGGTCTCAGGTTGCCTTGTCCTTTCCCCGCTGCTTGGAATGGGCGCCCTGGAGCTCTGACCTTTAGCGAACTCGCCGGGGGGCTAAATATAGGGCTGGAGAGAAAGTCCAAAGGGCCCCGGCTGTCTGGAGAGGTGGGGTGGGGGTGGGGATCCCCTTGCCCCCATAGGAGTGAGCAACGGGGAAAGACCAGCCCCTTGGTGGGGGGCTGGGTCATGCGAGGCCCCATGGCCCATTCCTGCCCCCCGAACCAGTCAGTCCCTGCCCTGGTGGGAGCTGGCGCCCCCTAGAGGGGCCAGGCTGTGGGGTTCTGGCAGCTGCCCCAGTGGGCACCAAGGGGTGTGTAGGGCAGAGCGGATGTGCGGATGATGAGGGTCAAATCCCACCTGCTTCCTTGTCCGCACCAGGCCCCCTGTCCCCCGCCCCTCGCTGACCCACAGAATCTTGCCATGGTCGGCCGGGTACAGGGCGACCCCCGTCCCCACCCCACTGCCCCACAAGGGAACCTTCCTGAGGGACCCATAGCTAATAACCTGTCACACAACGGGGGGGGGGGGGGGGAAAGTCCCCGAATGACCCAGTGCCTGATTCTCTCCCCGGCTCTGGGAGGGGAGAGGCGGCTGGTGGTTAGAGCAGGGGGGACTGGGAGCCAGGACTCCTGGGTTCTCTCCCCGGCTCTGGGAGGGGAGTGGGGGCTGGGGGGTTAGAGCAGGGGAGGGGCGGAAGCCAGGACTCCTGGGTTCTCCCCCCGGCTCTGGCGTGTGTGGGGGGGTGCTGTGCGTGAGGGACGCACGTGGGGGATTGTTCACGCGATTGCATATTTGTGCAGGTGCCAATGGCCCGTCTGGGGGTTGGTCTGTCCCCACACAGGCAGGGCACTTACAGACAGTCCCTAACTGGCCTGGGTGGGCGGAGGATGCCCGGGACCTCGGGTATAAAAGGGAGAGGGCAGCCACCACCTGGGCACTGTCAGCTGCCACCCCACCCCCGACAGCCACCGACCGGAGAGGAGACCCAATCAAGTGAGGGCCAGGGCCAGGGTCATCTACTTTGGTCTATTTCCCCTTTGCGGGTCGGGAGTGAGGGGCACCGGCAGGGCTGGGGCGGGCAGGGCTGGGCTAGCAGGGGGCTGCGGGTCGGGAGTGAGGGGCACCGGCAGAGCTGGGGGTCAGGGAGGCCTGGGCCTGTCCCTGTCCGGGCCCCAGCTGCAGGCTATCAGGGGATGGGGTGACCTCTTCCTCCAGTGGCCAGCCCTCCGGGTGTGCGTGAGTCTATTTTTAAACCTGGCAGCTGCCCAGGGTGTGTGTGCGTGGAGGTGTGAATGTTAAAGGGGTTGGACATGCTTTGGATTGGACAGAGGGCCCGGGGTGAGTGGGGATGGGAGCCAGGACTCCTGGGTTCTCTCCCCGGCTCGGGGAGGGGCGGGGGGGCTGGGAGCCAGGACTCCTGGGTTCTCTCCCCGGATTGGGGAGGGGCGGGGGGGCTGGGAGCCAGGACTCCTGGGTTCTGTCCCCGGCTCGGGGAGGGGAGTGGGGGCTGGTGAGTCAGAGCAGGGGGGCTGGGAGTCCGGACTCCTGGGTTCTGTCCCCGGCTCTGGGAGGGGAGTGGGGGCTAGTGGGTTAGAGCAGGGGGGCTGGGAGCCAGGACTCCTGGGTTCTCTCCCCCGCTCTGGGAGGGGGTGTCTGTGTATGAGGGGAACAAGCCTTGGGCAGGTGCTCTTTCGAGCCCCCTCTTTTTTTCTCCCGCCAGCCATGTCCATCCAGAAGATCTACGCCCGCGAGATCCTGGACTCCCGTGGGAACCCCACGGTCGAGGTGGATCTGCACACGGCCAAGGGTGCGTGGGGGGGGGCAGGGCAGGGTTTGGTTTGGGTGGGGGGGAGGGCTGGGGTGTGGAGGCGGGGGGTTCCCATGGGGACCGGGTGGGTTATCGCAAGGCTGGGGTTCAGGGGGATCCCTAGGCAAGATGGGAGGGGGGCTGGCAGGGGTCAGGCTCTCCCAGCTGTCGGGGGAGCCCCAGGGTAATTACTTCCCCTGCTTTCCCCCTCCAGGTCGTTTCCGGGCCGCCGTCCCCAGTGGTGCCTCCACTGGCATCTATGAGGCTCTGGAGCTGCGGGACGGGGACAAGTCCCGATACCTGGGCAAAGGTGAGGGGCTGTCAGGGGAGGGGGCTGACGCTAACCGGGGGTGGGAAGATTTATCCCTCCCTCCCCACAGACTTCACCCTTCTGCCCTCCATCCCCACACACCCCTCCCTCCATCCACAGCCAGGGCTGGGCTAGTTCACGGTGCTGCCGCGTGCTGGACAAATGCCCAGAAGTGATAAAAAACCTTGATCCCATATTGGTGCGACGGGGGGGGGGGGGGGGGCGTTTCCAGTCATCCCAGCAGGAGTTGTGGACACAAGCCCTGGGAGAGGCCCATGGATTCAGGGATGGGTTTCTGGACTTGTTCATAGGGTTGGCTGAGAGGTTGGTTGGTTGGTTGGTTGGTAGGGTTGGGTGAGAGGTTAATTGGCTGGTTGACTGGTTTGTTGGCTGGACATGAGGTTGATTGGCTGGTTGGTTGGTAGGGTTGGCTGGTTGGCCGTGAGGTTGATTGGCTAGTTGTTGATAGGGTTGGCTGAGAGGTTGATTGATTGACTGGTTTGTTTGCTGGCCGTGAGGTTGATTGGCTGGTTGGTTGGTAGGGTTGGCTGGTTGGCTGTGAGGTTGGTTGGTTGGTAGGGTTGGGTGAGAGGTTAATTGCCTGGTTGACTGGTTTGTTGGCTGGCCGTGAGGTTCATTGGCTAGTTGATTGGTAGGGTTGGCTGGTTGGCCGTGAGGTTGATTGGCTGGTTGGTTGGTAGGGTTGGCTGGTTGGCCGTGAGGTTGATTGGCTGGTTGGTTGGTTGGTTGGGTTGGCTGGTTGTCTGTGAGGTTGATTGGCTGGTTGGTTGGTAGGGTTGGCTGGTCGGCTGAGAGGTTGATTGATTGGCTGGTTGGTAGCCTTGACTGAGAGCTTCATTGGCTGGTTGGCTGAGAGGTTACTGGTTGGTTGGGTTGACCGGTTCATTCATTGGTTGACTGGTTTCATTGCCTGGTTAAACGTGCTGGGTGGTGCACTCTTGGGTTTTTTTTAGTGAATTAATTGAAATAAAGCTCCTGATCTAAAATGAACTCCCAGGACACCTCATGGGAACCTGAGCTTGTCCACATGCCCATGGCCCAGTGCCCAGCTCGGACGGGTGGGGGGCAGTAGAGACCAGCCGGGTACCACATCTCTGTTCTTCTCCCCCCAGGGGTCCTGAAGGCTGTTGAGCACATCAATAAAACCATTGCGCCGGCCCTCCTGGAGAAGGTAATGACCCCCTGCTCATGCCTGTAGGGGGTGCTCATGTATTGGGGGTCTGGGCAGTACATGGGCATGGAGGGGTACTTGGCTATGGGGGGTGCTAGAGGGTACCTGGCTATGGGGGGATGCCCAGAGGGCATGGGAGTACCTAGGAAGGGCGTATCTGGGTATTAGAGGGAGGCCCAGGAGTGGGGTTAGCTGGGGGAGGGAGCTAGATATGTTGCAGGGGGTCCCTGGGTAGAATAGGCTGGCTGTGTATAGGGTGGTGTCTGGGGGGCTGGTGCCTGGCAAAGTATGGAGAAGGGGGGGCGCAGCGGTGTGAGGTGTCCTAGATGGAGGGGGGGGATGTGGGGGGCAGCTACTCATGGTGCCTGTGTGACGCCTCACCCCCATTGTCCCCCCGCACCTCAGAAACTCAGTGTGGTGGAGCAGGAGAAAATCGACAAATTCATGATCGACCTGGACGGGACAGAGAACAAATGTGAGTGAGAGAAATCGCCACCGACCCTCTGGCCCCTTCCCCGCCAGCTCTTTCCACAAACTGCTTTCCACCCCTTTCCCGCCCCCTGATGATCCCTCCCCATTACCTGACTGTAGGGTGTGTGTGGGGGCTAATCCCGTTTGTCTCCCCCCCCCAGCCAAGTTTGGGGCCAACGCCATCCTGGGGGTGTCTCTGGCAGTGTGCAAGGCCGGGGCCGCGGAAAAGGGGGTGCCCCTCTACCGCCACATCGCCGACCTGGCTGGCAATGCAGAGCTCATCCTGCCTGTCCCGGTGAGAGCCCCCGGATGCCAGGGTTCCTCTTCGAAGGGAATTGGGTCTGATGGGTTAGAGCAGGGGGGTCTGGGAGCCAGGACTCCTGGGTTCTCTCCCTGGCTCTGGGAGGGGAGTGGGGGCTGATGGGTTAGAGCAGGGGGGGCTGGGAGCCAGGACTCCTGGGTTCTCTCCCTGGCTCTGGTAGGGGAGTGGGGGCTGGGGGGTTAGAGAAAGGGGGGCTGGGAGCCAGGACTCCTGGGTTCTCTCCCCGGCTCTGGTAGGGGAGTGGGGGCTGGAGCAAGGGGGGCTGGGAGCCAGGACGCCTGGGTTCTATGCTGACCCCCACCCCCCTGGCAGGCGTTCAACGTGATCAACGGGGGCTCACACGCGGGGAACAAGCTGGCCATGCAGGAGTTCATGATCCTGCCGGTGGGGGCGGCCAGTTTCAAGGAGGCCATGCGCATCGGGGCCGAGGTCTACCACAACCTGAAGGCCGTCATCAAGGCCAAGTATGGCAAGGACGCCACCAATGTGGGGGACGAGGGCGGCTTCGCCCCCAACATCCTGGAGAACAATGAAGGTACCGGATGCCTGGGTTCTCTCCCCGGCTCTGGGAGGGGAGTGGGGGCTGGAGGGTTAGAGCAGGGGAGCCAGGACTCCTGGGTTCTCTCCCAGTGCACTCCCTGGCTGCAGATTGACAGGAAGAGGGTAGCAGCTACTTTATAGGGCTGCGGTTGGGTTTTAGCCTCATCCCCCAATTCCCTCGTCAAATGTCGCAGCCATAATTAGTGCAGCTGCTCGTAACCCGAGCCGCAGCAAGCACACCGAGCGTTGCTGAGCCAGGAAAGGTCACGGCCTGCTGGGGTCTTCTGCGTTCACAGGGACCCCTCGCCCGGCGCGGAGACGCGCCCACCTCTGGGGCGGGGCGGCCAGTTCCCCAGGGACCCCTCGCCCGGCGCGGAGACGCGCCCACCTCTGGGGCGGGGCGGCCAGTTC